GCAAACGCTAGCAAAACGCTGGAGAAACGCTAGCGTACGCTAGCGTGACGCTGGTGACGCTGGGAACGCTAGATCGATATGCATCCTCTCCCCGGCACTGCCGCTGGCGTACGCTGGAAGCGCTACGCTGCCGCAAAGTATAAACGCAGCCTAAGCTTTGATGCAATAATAAACAATGTGAATTTCGCACACACATAAAACAATTCAGAAAACCAGATTACCTGTCCCCAGAGCAATGTGCCTACACCTAAGGCCAAGCACCACAACCACTGTTCGATGTTCAACGCTGCTGTGCTGAACCAACGGCCACCAAATTGCACGATAAGGATTTGTGAGACGAATGTAGCGATCCAAATTATATAGTAGATGGGATTCGAGAACAAACCCTGCAAACAGTTTTATGAAACGCGGATGAAGAGAACAGTATAAATTTTACTAGCACAACCAGGGCACACCATTGGTTGGGGGTTTTAGTCAAATCCGTACGACCCCGCCCCCTTTTTCTTTGGGAAGGGGGGGGGGAGTGGTACGACCACTCCCGCCCCCCTCCGGCCCTCTGCCCCTCCCCATCGAATCGAGCCGGGGCGGGAGGGGGGAGGGGTAAATAGCTAAATACCACATGGAAACAGGAAAAGCCGCGACACAATACACCCCGTCCCCTTTTACAACGTCCGTGAAGCGAGAAAAATCAACTATCAAAATAAATTTTTCTCAGCCCAAATACGACCCCCCCTCCTGGCGACCAAATACGACCCCCCCTGTTGGGGATTCCCCAACAACGATGTGTCCTGAGCCCAACACGCATACAGCGATTTACATCACTGCCGCAACGTCATCGATGCCAGGCCGCAATCATAATTCGCGACTTCTGCGACTCAGCCGCGCAACTTGGCAGCCGCGCGCGCCACCTCTTATCGTTGGTTCGCTGCAACGGTCGGAAGAAGTTCTATCATGAATGCGATTGAATTTTCGGTTCAATGAGTCGCGGTGAGTCGCGTGTCGGTCGCAATCACGGATTGGGAATCGCTCGAGTAGTGAAGTTCGGATGCAGCCTTAAAGGCACGCTCCGCGTTCACATGATGTGCAGACGCCGTCCTTGCTCAAGATGTCCGGTCCACATGCATCGAGCATGTAAAAATTTTCGCGGCTCAAAAGCACATGTTCAGGCACTACCCGCTTCTGGCGAAGGCATTGCCCCGCCCACTGCCCCACACTACGCCCATTCCGTGGTCGTGCGGTAGCTCCGCTACTAGCTCTTTCCATTCTGAATGACGAGCGTGAGGAGATGGGGGAAACTAGATGATATATTTATGGTAGAAACAAGTGAGAGCTCGTCGAAACGTGCTCTCATTTCGCCTTATGCTCGTACAAGCTCGGTTTGGCAGTGGGTCCTATCTAGAGCATTTCGGAAGGTTTTCTCTGCTCTTACTTCACTATTCACTTGACTACCGCCTCGCTACACATACTTGAACCCCGCAACCCTCTCTTTTGATCAGGTGAGTCATTAAAGATACGCCTCGCATTCATTCGATGCGCAGACTTTCTTTTTTCTTTCTTTTTTGCCTTCTTTAGAAATGGTGGTCCTGCCAGCAAGCATGCAGGATGTACTTTCACAACTCGAAAAATAAGTTTTAAGAAGAGCGCGGCTGCTGGCGACGGTAGGACTACGGACTCCGCTCGATTGCCACGGCAACGCCCAACTTTTCGTTACTTTATTTGCGTAGGTAATGGCTGGGTTTGTTTTTTACTAGCTTGCTCCTCGTGTTAGGGTCGGTGATGGACAGTGAGGTGATAAGAGAGATAGAGCTGGCACCAGCACATAAGAAATCGGTCTGCCCGTCCCTTTCCTTGCCTTACAAATACTACTCAGCATGTAGTTCTACATGAGACATGGTCAGACTTTCCCTCTCGTTTGAGCTTGCCTCAGGACAAAAAAGAAAGATATGAGACGGTTCCAGGCCGACTGAGGTCGGGCCTAAGTGTTACCCCAGAGGGACGTGCGACCAATGTTACCGTCCTACTTTGCAATGGAGCCCGCCGACTCGAGCCTTGAGGAAGTGTATCAGAGTGAGCCCTAGGCCTGAGGATCGATGGGGGCTGAGATCCAGATCCGCTTACCGTTCAGGCATCGATTGATATCAAGCGGCGAATCGGTGGCGGCAGCGAAATCGCAGCCATATCGCGCGCCGACACCACGAAACCGCGCACATATCACACTTTATCATCCTGCCTCTTCCTATTTTTCTTGTTCATATTTGCCGACCCAGTCGGTTATAATTCTGCACCCGACGCATGACCCTGATAATTTGCAGCCGCTGAGTGAAAGAGGAACAGGAAGTACTGCATGAACTCTCTGCTGAAGAGAACAAGAAGTAGAAGACTCATAAGATCGAAGCAAAATTAATGATCTAATCATCATTTCTTACACTGCTGGTCTGAAAAGATACTGCTGTACAGAACACAGAGGGAATCTCATCGACTGCAGCAATCCATCACCCTTTCCTTCCTCCCACTCGCACCATCACCCTCATCAATGGTTCTCAAGGGCGAAGAAATAAATCAAACCGAAAACTCACAGTAAACACGTTTCGCTCTCCATGAATTTTCCTGGCGTTGATCTCGTTGAACAATGTCATCAGCACAAAGGTGTTAAATACGATCGTGAAATGAACAGACGGCGGTGAATGAAGAGGAGCCCATCGACCAGATGGAATTTCGAAGAGTTTTTCGCCTGAGGATCAAAATTCGTTCAAAGTGTATTGATTCATTCCAGTAACTTTTATTCTTAGCCCTGAATTATCAGTTAATTATTCAAAGAAAGCCTTAGCGACTACACTCTAGTTCTCTGCGGACGATTAGGCGTGTCAGCCAGTATGAGGTCACCCTATGAGAGCCATTTCTCTGCCGATCTTTTGGCGGTACGGGGTTCGCGCGGCGGTGTTGAAGAGCGATGCCGACAAATAAAATGGTAGAAACGAGTAATACGAACGATATGATACAGTATTCTCACTTGCCCCCTTCAACTATTGTAGTGTAGAACGAGTTTGGCACCGTGCCAAACCTGTTCTACTAACGTGCCAAAGCCACGACACGCCCAACCGTCTGAGTTAGCCGAAATTACAGCCATATGAGCCTTGTCTTATCGTTGGGAAAAAAACTGTGGGGAAACAGCCCCCCCCCCTCAGAATTTCCTTCCCTGGGTACGACCCACTTCCCATCCTACCGAAAATCCTCCTAAATTCTCCCAGTTACCTACCATTCCAGAGTTTTCCCAGAATTCCACAGCTTTCACCCAAAAACTAAATCGAGCGGAAGAAGAGGGAGGGGGAGACTCCTGCTATAAAACTGGGCCTACTGCGGCGCGAAATCTCATATTTAATCGAAAAAGTTGATTCAGTCACCTCTAGGCTAGCTCCTTACGTGGGCCCAGGCGAAAAAAAAGACTAACGATAGCCCTCAACCCCATGTCATTCTCCAAAAAAATCAGCTAACTTACCGTAGAAGATGAGAGTAAACAGTACAACCAGCTGATACACTGCATGTCCAAGGATGTTCTTGCTCATGGTGCGAGAAATCAGAGGGCTGGTTCGACCGTAAGGTTTCCTAGATACAAAGCTCTCGTTGCACATACTGAGCTTTTCATTGGATTCGCGAGGGAGCAGCAGTATTGACTAACCTTTTCAAGAGTTCTTCAGTAGGCATTTCTGTAGCCAAAGCCAAAGAGGCAAGGGTATCCATAATAAGATTCACCCAGAGCATTTGTACGGCCTAAAACAGAACTGCCAGATATTCGGTCATGGGGAACCTCGTTAAACATTATTACCTTCAGAGGAGTATCCTGAATGGCGCAAGCACCAACAAACGCTACAACTACTGCAACCACGTTCACAGTAAGTTGAAATTGTAGGAATTTAGCGATCGAATCGTACACGTTACGTCCCCACATTACAGCCTTTAAAAATAGGATAGGAGTGTCTAACCTTGTAATATAAGGAATTCATATCGAATCAAAACAGCCACTTACTTTGACGATTGATGTGAAGTTGTCATCAGTAAGAATGATATCAGACGCTTCCTTTGCCACATCGGTACCGGCGATACCCTTAAAATATCAGGTCTTCTCCTATCAAAAGAATGCTGAGAAATGGACAAGAGTCCTGGGACCCGCATCTCCTGCGGAGGGTGCGCTATTCATTGCCCACGCCATAGGCCTTTAGCCTTAAATATCTCCACCGCATCAACCAATTATTTTTGAGAACTGAACGTCGCACTAACACTTGCCAAAAATTCTTTTGAAGAAAGTTGCATTTTTCCGTCTTTGATGTCCCACCGGTGCTCCCCCTCCCTCCGTCAACTAATTCTAGCCATTCATTAAGTTCACTCAGAACTACAGTATCATACCCTTCTTTCGCTACCGCTCCGAAAACCCAAGGCGGTCTGCCTTTCAGCCAAGGTTTCACCGCTGCCACCTTTGAACTTTGTAGTTGATAGGTGACGGACTCCCCCACCCCCCATTCCGGCACTTCCACGGTTTGACGGCAATTTTCGTGAAAAATAAAAGGCTGAAAAATCTCCGAAAACTGAGGAAAACGACAAAAGTATGGGTCAACTTATGGTTAGGAAAATGGTAGGCGGGATAGGAAAAGCGGTCGCAGCAGATGAGGAAGTTTTGAAGGGGTGAGGTGGGGGGGGGTCTTCTAAAACCGCCGTTTCGTGCATCACAATGTTGTACCCTGTTCCACGGTTTCATCGTCATTCTTCTCAACCCATCTTTTCACAAAAGCAGTAAGTTACACGCAGCTCTCATTTTGGCCATTAAAAATAAATAAGGCCAACCATGGCAAATCCGACATCAGCCTTCTTGAGAGCTGGTCCATCATTTGTCCCGTCTCCGGTTACCGCGACTACCTCACGTGCATCCGATATTCGGGAATCGATAATGCCCTGAAGTGACGCAAATTAATGTAGATATCGATAGCGCGTACATCTTTGTAAGCTTTACTAGCCACTACATACAAATATCGATTACCTTGACCAGGGTATACTTATCGGAAGGCTGAGCACGGGCCAGTACTCGCAGTTTCGGCCAGATCTGATCCAGTTTATCCTGTGAGACCTCGCCATTCTCGTCACGAATTCTGGAACAAGATGAACTTGTAAATGGATTCTCTATACCTCAGTAAAACACGATGAAGCCCTGTTTTTTTGCAAGAATAAATTCCCTTAATTTCAAAACGCCTTGTTCTCCAGTTAATGATAATTTTTAATATCAATCATATTTTATATAGTTTCCTCTTAAAATATTCAGATTTCTATCGATTATGCCGGCCAAATGCTCATAGCCTTCAAAGCAGCACATCCCTCGCTTCACTGAAGCAATGGGGAAAGACAACAGCCATGAGAACAATTGTGCCGTAGTCTACGAAGAGCACTGCGAAGGCACTCTTTTTCAAGAGGAATCGATTCGCATTCCAGCACAGCGCCGGTGGTCAATGGTCTGGTTGAAGCTTTTGAAATACACCATTTTCGCATAAAGCCGCTGCGGGCCGGGCCACACAACGACAACTCTTTCTGCCCAAGCCGATGAGGCACCTAAAAAAATGCAGTTGCTACCACTCGGCCACCTGATCCTATCTGGCGGTTGCTACCGCCTAATCCACGTTCACATTAACGTCTGCCTGCAAATGCATAAAAAGGAGAGGATTCCGAAAATAAGAGCATGACGGGTTCAAAAATCTCCTACTTCAGACGTTGCTTTGGGGGAGAACTCAGCACCCAGACGGATGTCACGCTTCTGGGCGACTATGCCACATCATGGCCGCTTATCTGCACCCTTTCACCCAACTGAAATGCGGTCTATAAGACTGTCTGGCTATTCTACGGCTTACAAAAGACGTAGCATTGCAATACAAGACATCCAAGACACGACTTGGCACAGCCGCGTCATTGCGTGGCGCATCCCTCCCCCTCCTACCCAACTACCTTTGCCCCTTGGAACGCTTTGGATTAATCTTAACCACGCAGCCTTGGAACAACGACGATTTGGCGCATAGCTAAAGCAACGATAGCAACTCATTTGGCGCCCCTAATGTAATTTGCACCAAACAAAAAAAGACCAATGTATTGGTCGGCCAGCTTGCATTTGTCAGCATACGT